CTGTGATATTTTACATTGGTTTCAAAAGTGTAATAATTATATTCGCAGAACACTGTATCGAAGATTAGTTGTTGGTCATGTGTTAAATTATTGCTTTTAATGGAGTATTTATAGTACCTATTAATAATTGACGAAATTCTTCGGATTATTAACATTTTCCAACTGGGTCACACCAATAAAACTGTTCAGTTTTCAAAAACTATTATTTCCGTCATTGTTTAAGCAGTTGTTTAGTAGCAGTAGTAACTATAGGTACATACCTATTGTCTATAGGTACATACGCAAGACGCAAACGAAGTTGACGCTCAAGTAGAGTCGTGATCTACACGTTTTCCACTTGTTGTCTAACAAGTGGAAAACGTGTAGATCACAACAACAATAGCTTTAATTCATGAACTCTTTTAATTCGACGTACCTACGTACGTGGATTGACCTTTTTATGGCCATAGGCCATAGTTAGAAAAATACATTTCTCTGTGAACTATAGTTTAGTTCAATTTTAATTTTTTTGTTGTTTTTTAGATACACAGATAATTATTTTTTGACGTCGCATAAAAAAAACCTTATGCCACGTAACGTACCTAGCTACTGGGACTTAACGTTGCAATGCGGAATATTGATTTCAATTTAATTTTTTGTATTCCATAATGTACATTCAGGTGGTAGGCTTAAAACTTGGTAACAATTATGGACCCTGTCAGGCACAGCACTATCAGGAGAGAGGAGGAGCTGCTTAATTATGCTAGTTTTAAAAGTTTTATTTTAATACTTATATTATCTGCTTCAGACGAGATAAATTAATTAAACTATATAGTATATTAAAATTGCATATTCATAATAGTATGTAGTTGTTGATAATGTAATAAATTTATTATTGAACAATGTCATCACAAAATTAGTTTACTAGTTAGGTATTGTATGTAAATTTATTGCATAGCCATTAATTAGTGCAGTCCAGTGTTTCTTACTTTCGTCGTGTAATCAAGTTATTTCTCCTTTCTTTACCTTTTTTGTAAAGAAAAAAATAATAATAATTACTTATAATAAAGTAACTTTATGTCTATCCTCGAATGTGTTTATAATTATTAGTGATTATCATGTGGGTAACTTTAGTTATTTAAAGTTTATAAGTTATCTTCTAGGTATTCCTTGACACTGTAGTAACATTTACTTATTAGAATTCGTTAATAAAAGTATTGAACTTATTTTCGGTTTTGATTGCGTTTGGTAGCCTATTATATACTTTTATTTACATGACCAATGGCCCAGAGGAGTGAATTGCTAATCTTGAAGTAGAAAGGTTTAATCTGCTTTTGTGTCTTAGGGTCATTTTGGATTGAATATCTACGCGCTTGGTGTAGTGTTCTGGATATTTACGGACAAGTTTACATAATTCCAAGATGTAAATGCATGGTAATGTTAGGACTTTGTTCTTGATGTGTGATTTACATGTGTCGGTACTTTCTATATTGACCAAGACTCTTATCAATGCTTTTTGTTTAGTAAAAATTTAATGTTAAACTACTCATTTCATTTAAAATAAATTTTGCATATCTATTACTATCTTACTCTATTAGCAATTAGTAAGATGAATATGTACCTACATATAGAATACAATATACAAAAAAATTAGAGTATCTTAGTTTACACAACAATTCGGGTCGGGCGACGAATTAAATGTAATTGTCACCAATTAACTGTTATCATGCAATATAACGACCGTCACGATGAACTGCAAATGTAAATTCATTTATATTTACACACATGCACTCATAAACACAACCACCAACTCACAAATCAAAATAATGGAAACCAGTGTAATGAAAGGAACCAACTATTTACCTTGATACTTAGTAAAAATATTTTAAGATTAAAAGAGATAACGAGTAGGAATCTGACGAACAAAAAATACTTAATATATTGATATCCTAACAAAACCAATGAGATTTAAAACTAGATTTGTATTTATAAACAGGTTTTGAACTCGTATTGAGGTCGAAGTTAATTGCATTATTCGAAATACAGCCCACACTGTTTTACGAAGTATGAAGCAAGCGAGTGAGCAGTTCAAGACTCAAATTTTATATCTAGTCATTTTTCTTATTTCTTATGAAGTTGAGAAATGATTTAATTAAACTGAGTTTAACGAGTGAACATGACATTGAAGATAAACAAACAATAAAAAAAGTATGTAACATGTTTACGTTGAATAGGCTCTCTGCCAAATGTCGCTACTGATAAATGATTGCAGCATTGTAAAGATACAAACACAAACTACAGACATTCATTTTACTTGACCATTATAAATATATTAAAAATATTATTTATTTGACTTTATGTCTGACTGACTGTATGTTAACTACTTCTGAATAAAGAATCTTTTTAATAGTGAAAAAACAATTAAAATTGGTGCAATACTTTAGAATCTAGATTGAATTATTAGCGTAAAAGTGTTGATACGTGAATAGACCTATACCTATTCACCAACTATTTAAAACAGATCGCATGCCCAAGTCAAGAGTTCAAAGTGGCAGACCATTCAAGCGATAATAAACTAGGTAACAATTATAATATATTAATTTTATAAAATTATTCCTAACTTGTAGGCAAAAATATACCTTTATAAATATATGAATAACTCTATAAATTATACTAGGAAACAAGTTTGACGACATTGCTAAAGGCAATTACAGAATTTCCATATACATCTGTATATTATTATTCTGTATTAACAAACATATGCGTACCTACCTACTTTATTCTACTAGAAAAGACGATCAATGATTTAACACAGAAACTTAGGTACCTACTTATATTTTTAGTAGACTTTGTGTTGTAGTAATAAGGCTACTTAAAAAGTTGTTTCTAAGACATGTCTGAGACATTGGTTAGAAGATATTACGTAAGCTACCACTTATTAGATTAATCGACAAACTTTCTCAACCAGTTAATGGCATCATTCAATTCTCCGAACATGATCTCTGCGTTATGATTATGACCTATAGTTGGAATTATAGTATTTAAGTGAGTTAGTTTAGCAGTCGTTCGTTACTAATCTTGAGCAAAAATGTTATTTTGTTCTAAACTGCTGATGAAAGACAAAAAATCGAAGACAGAGAGATATGTTTATTTTGAAAAATATGTGAAGGCGTTATGGTTTTGCTCTACCTGTTACATTTTAAGCCAGTTTAATGAATCAAGTTTTCTCTACCTAATAAAAAAATACGACGACATAATAAGACAAGTATCACAACGCCACTATAATTCTTAGAAGATATCGAAAACTGCACTTGTCCTTCTCTTCCGCTAAATGTTACCAATAAGAGAACCATATTATATATTATATTATTACCTACATATGAAATGTTTTCCACACAAACAAAACAAATAACTGAGTTCTTCTTCATTGAAAATTAAGCATTGCAACTTTACAAAAAAGTCGATGATGGCGATGACTACACAACATTTCTCAGGGTCACTGTCGATCACGCACACATATAAAAAGTTCTGACACAGCGTCAGATATTACGTAGAATGCAATACCTTGCAGAATATACCCGAAATATAAAATGACGTACATACTTTGTTAGTCAACGTAATTCATCGTCACGAAATCTATTTAGTAGTTATTTTTAACGAGATCGTCATTTGACATTTTAGCTACAAAGTGCAAACAATTTTGTTCGTATGACTCCTTTCATGATAAGATTGCCTTTAACCTTGAGAACCAGTCTAAATCTATCCAAAGGGATATTTTTTTAAATTCCTAAAAAACTAAAAGGATATACATATAGGTATTTAAGCCTTTACTCTAGTATCTGCTGAAAACCACAAAATAGTCAATCTTTATTTTCTGTTATGTGCCACAAACTTATTTTAAAATGAGGAGCTTCTTTGTATGTATGGCTAGTCGTAGTTCTTTCTTGAGAACGTCGAACAGGAGTAAACATCACACATCACATCATATCAACAGCCGTTAACATGCCACTGCTAAGGAGTAAACACTGATCTTAATATATTGTATAGATTATGATAAATTTCGTCATGATAGTGGATAACAAAAAGTGCTTGTAAAAGCATTGACGTCTTTATTACGATCGTGAGGCACTCTGTTTAATGTACACATCAGCAAGAATGCAAATCTAAGATGTCGTTCTTGAATCTTGCTAGATGTAGTGGCAGTGGGATAAATTCTTTAAAATAAAAATCTTGTTTTCCACAATCTCTTTTTTAGCTCACAACACACAATTTCACAACAATCTCAATTTGTCGTATCGATTCTAACTGAATGTTTGTTAACACTCCTACATAATTAAAGACAATACGTTTTAACAAAGTCTATTATTACTTAAGGTAAATCTTAATGTGAATGTCACATTTTATTATGTAGTCACTATCAGCGAGAAACTAATAAAATTTATCTCGGTTTCAGCGCCCTACTTGAAGTCATTATCTTTGTATGCAATGACATCGTGAAAGATTATTACCAAATTAAATGCATATTTCCATCAAATGTACTTACGTATACTAATTTTATTACATAAGTGAAACGAAGTTATCACGTACGCAAAGGTGCTATATAGTCATTACTTGAATATGATAAATTATGATCGATTCTGACCAAAAACATCATACTAAAAGTAAATGCACCTTCATGTTAAGACATTAAAACATAAATGATTAGAAAGACATTAAAGAACCTCCTCCTTTTTTGAAGTAGGTTAAAAAAGACATCTAGTGTTTTGCATAATAATATGACATGACGTGGCTTACAATGGCTTGTGTTGGTTTACGTGAAAAATTAATACAGATGAATCATACCAACAAAATATGAAATCGTATTTTAAAGCATGATTAAAATAATTAAAAGAGTTAGACGTCATTTGAACTACATTTTTGTAGTTAATTCACAACCGCAGTTTCATGTTAAATACTCGTAGGTACTTATTCTAAATTTATAACATGACGTTAAATTACATAATTACAAAAAAGGGACTCACCCACAAGTGCAGATTTCACATATACACTGTTCCTTAACGACGGTCTTCTCCGGTTTCTTTGGGCCCCCTCTGGGCCTGGTTTCGCGGTCTTCGATGATAACAGTCTCTTCAACAGTAGTCCTGTCGTCACGCATTGTTTTCCTGTCGTCGATGATAGTCTCATCGTAGACGGTGCTGACAGTCCTATCTTCCCTCGTAGTATCCGTGATAGCATGGTCTACCACGTCGTATTCTCGAATAACGTCTTCGGTCGTTTGGACATCGCGCTAAAATGCATAATACAATCATTCCTCATTCATACCTCTCATATTTTACAAATCTTGAAGCATTAAATTATGACATAAAATACAAAATAATTAAAAACAAGATTCTTACCAAGTTTTTGAAGTCGAACTTGCTCTTGTCGACGAAGACGTCCGTCCTAATTTTATCGTCTTCTTTCGCATCTTCATAAGTAGTAATTTTCCTCGTAATGCCATTCTCGGTGATGTATCTAGTGACCTCAACTTGACTTTTCGTTTTCTCGATATCAAAAACCTTTCTAGTGGTTTCACCTGTAGTGGATGTTAATACAGTAGATTCTTCAGTATCGATACCTTCATAAAGGTCTTTTATATCTTCATTAAATTTCGTACCAAGTGTCACTTTTTCAATTCTCTTAAAAGGATATTTTTTTACCGTGTCTATAATTTCTTTTAGAATTTTGTCATCAATGTTTCTGTTTATCACGATATTTTTGTTACTGACTTTTATATCTTTTTTAGTCTGTGATTTCTCAATAAGTTTCCGCAAGTCGCTGATGGATGTGAAGTCTTTAATATCTTTTGATGATAATATTATATTTTCTTGTGTATCCTGTCGTGTTAGATGATGTCTTGGCTGCTCTGGTTTACCAAAAGGTGACATTTGTTTAGGTTGTTTAGGGCGGTCATTATCTTTCTCATACACGAACTTCCCGTTCCATGCTCCAGTGCTTCTTTCGTACGTAGTCAATGTATCTTTTGTTTGAGAAGTTGTAGCCGATGTAGATTCTTTAGTTATATTTTGTTTTTCAGACGTAATAAATTCAGTAGTGTCTTTTACGTTGCTGGTAAATGGAACATCTGGTCTATCTGAAGGTGACTTTTTCGCGGTAGGGATACTCCCATCAGTCGTATCAGGAATACGTTTATTATGTAAATCATCTCTTTCATCAACGTATTCAGTAATTGGTCTCTTATTTGTGAAATCGCCACCATATGTGTTACTAGTAGATGCTATCTTTTTGCCATCTTTATACAAGGCAGATTCCTCTGATACTTGCAAAAAACTTTTAGGAACCCCATTTTTACCAGTATCATAATGAGATTCTTTATCTAGTACATGTCGTGAATATTCGTGTTCCGGTTTGAGTCCTGTTCCACTGATAGAATGACTTTTCTCATGTGTGGAATGTTCCTTAGTGTCTCCCCATTCTCGATGAGCTGTGTTAACTATAGTCTCTTTGCCATCAACAATTTCTACTACATAGGAGGATGTAGAAGCTTGCTGAGCACTACTTGTATTGCTTTTTAGTATTTTTGTTGAGAAATTTATATTTTCAGTGTCAGGTACTTGTAAAATATTACCAACTTTCTTAAGTTCATTTTGAATAGTTGCATCGTAACCGTAAAAGTTTGAGGAATCTGTTTGATTAGTGTTACGTCTTCGGTCGTCTATGCTAACATTTTTACGTTCAACAATATCTTTAGAAGTCTGAGTTGTGGTAAAATCTTCAGACACAATATTTGACTGTTGACTTATGTGTCGTGAGTCTGATGATTGGTAGTCAGACGTTACATCTTGACGGTTTGTTGTGTATTGTTGATCACCTCTTCTCACTGATGGTTGTCGTTCAGATGTAATGTAGTCATCTCTAGCAATAGATTGTGTATGATCTGATGTTATATGATCATGGTGCTTTAAATATTGTTCATCTCTAATTGTAGACGATTCTCGATCAGACGTTACAGTATTACGATTTGTTATATGTTCATAATTTTGACCATCTCTTGTCAGAGGGGATTGCTGATCAGATGTTGCATTCTCTCGATTAGTAATATATTGTTGGTGCTTCGCAATGTTGTCTTTTTCTGAAATGACACTAGAATGAGAAGCTGTTTGTTTTCCATTTTCTATCAATTTAGAATCTTCGGCCACTTTCAACTCGCTGGTAGGGCTTTTTCCATCCTTACCAGTGTCATACTTTGCTTTCATGTCATAATTCTCTGTGCTATGCGCAGATTGTGGCTTCATCCCAGTTCCACTTACACTGACATAGTCTTCTTTTGAGGCGTGTTCTTGAGCATCGCCCCATTCTCTCTTTGAGCTGTCAACGATACGTTCTTTACCGTCTACAATTTCTACAACATAGGATGATGACGATGATTTTGTAACATTGCTACTCTTAGATTCACTCGTTTTTGAAGTGCTGCTATATTCCGTCGTGTTCCTTTTTTTATCCAGAGTCCCTTCACCCCCATAGAAATTAGAAGAATCAGAACGCACGCTTTGATTCTTCTGTGATGGTCCAGAAGAATTACGAACAATTTTACCACCGATTAATTTAACTTGTTTTACATTTTGTTTGTCAGCTGGTTTCGCCGTATTTGTTTTAGGCATGTTTGAATTCGATGTCTGACTAGCTAAGTTATGACGCTCAATCTCGAGAAAAGAATTGGAAGCGTTACCTGTCTGCGATCGATTCAAGAATTTATTAGAATTAGTCACATTTGCTGTAGAATTGTCAATGAAAGCTGTATTCAACGTTTGATTTGCAGCAGTAGAATCTGCTGTTCTGTCAAAGGTTTGACTTTCGCTAGAACTAGATTGCTGAACTGAAGATGATGATGTTTGGAATGTTTCAGACTTGGAAACTTGTTCGTGAGTCGACGAAGACTCCTGGAGTACCGAACTAGAGACAAAGTCGCCAGAAGTTGATAGTGCCATATCGCTAATGTGGTGCTGTGACCTTATTTGCGACAAATCAGTCATAGAAGGAGCTTCTGTGATAACATAGTGCGGATGACTATTGTAATGTTCTGATATGGTTGAACCGGCTATCGAAGAATTGTCAGTTATATCGGTTATCATGAGCGGGTCATCTTCTTCAACCTTCACATCGATATATCGAACCTTCTTACCAGAGCTAACCTTACTTTGCTGCACCGACGTGGATGAACTGGTCTTCTGAACACTAGTCGATGCACTACTGGATGATGTCACTTCGGACGATTTTGATTGCTTAGTCTTTTTATTTTTTATCGTCATTTTGGTCCCACAAATAATTTAATTACAAACTAAATTAATTTATAAAAGAGATTCCTATATTAAATATTTTGAAACTAATAACTATGCACAAAATATAAATATCTGTCAAACAATTGCCATGCACTAAGTAAATATTGGTCGCGAGAGTCGTTCGTATCGTGTGTCGCGGAGTGCGCGCGCGCTCCTCGCTACTGACTCGCGGATTGTGTCTGTACTCGGCGGCAGCGCAGGCGCCCCTCACACTCGCACCTTGACGCCGACGCCGCACTCGCGCCCACCAGACCTTTGCGACACGTAAGCGTTTACATCTCAGTGTTGGACTCATACCAAAAATGGCCTAAAAGTTGCTGAGTTGCTTACTTAACACAAAATCTTAGTCATCAACGTCTCATCGTTCAACTTAGTTCTTCATAGTTATACAGTAGGTAACCTTTGACATCGTCGTTTTGCAGTAACAGCGACTACTTTTACGATGAAAGCATCAGCATATCGCACTGATATTCTACAAACAAAACAAAATGACTAAGTTCGATGACACATAAAATACAAAATAAATAAGTCTCTACTTAATTAAATAAAATAAACATAAAATGATGTAGTTTTTCCACCGTTGAGGTGGTAAATAAACATACTAAGTGCTTTACGCTGTAATAAAGTAGGTACTCACTATTTTTGGAAAACTTAGATTTGTTAACTGACAGTAGACACATGTGATTAATGATATCTGCAAATTTACTGCTTCTAACGACCTTACACGGCTTCAGGTCTCCACGGCTAATAATCCTATGAAGGCGAACACGGAATGTCGTACAATGTAAGGTGAATATAACATATTGATTAACCTAAATACTACAGACATATTGACATTTTCAATACCTTTGAAAAGCAACGCGTTGAAAAATGGTATAGGTATGAATACTCATACCTATACATTTTTTTTTTAACCATGTATTTTTGTTATTCGCTACGGTAAAATTTCAGAACTTAGTTGCATTTTCTATAAAGAATATCAGTCTGAACAAAGTTCCTTTCGCTTTGTGATATTATATCTTATATATTAAATAATGTTTTCACTAAGAATGTTATTGAGAATAGGTAAGGTATAGTGACTAGGTAAAGTTTTTTATTTAATTAGTTAGAAACAGTCCCACACTAACTAATAATATAAATAATGCAGTTTATTTTTCGCTTTTTAGTGTTAGTGTTTTTAGCTTTTGTTATTTTTTTAACAGTTTCATTTTTCATTTTTAGTGTAAATATTCATAGTCCAGGTTGAACTACTGCATATAAGAGAGGTAGCAACCTACGGAAAACGACCAACTTCAACTGTTATTCCTGCTGATGCTGACCACAGTTATTCACATCAGTATGGAATCGTGCATCAAACCACCAGGTTTGATGAACGTATTGAAACTGGGCATAGGCTACATAGTTATGTTGTGAGGCAACATGTCTGTTACCTAAATTCCTGGTCCAAATATCTTATTCAAGTTTAAATGGCCTGCCATTCGCTGTGATCAAATAGAATCACGCGAGTTACCCGATTTAGTGTTTATAAAATACTTGTTATACACTGCCACGCTTCGCTGTGGAACATTGTGGTAGGAAAAAATAGAAAAAAAACCGTCTGTAAAGCTTGTTGTATATCTTGTCAAAGTTTGAACTCAATCAGTGTAGTACACAAAACAACTTAACATTTTTAAATACTTATATAAATGATACGAGTATGTGTAAAGATGATAACGACTCTATTGCGACAAAATCAAAAGGTGTCAAAGGTGCAAATTAAAAAAAATGCAAAGGTGGTTGTTGACACAGGCGCTTTTATTTTTGTCGAAATGGCAACTATGGCATCTTACCCCGTTCAACATCCCCCTAGCTTTTAGTTGCCTGATAAACCTATCAGGCAATTAAAAGCTACGGGGATGTTGAACAGAGAAAGCTACTGCTAATCCTCAGTTGGGCGGTTACGGTGCATAAACTCCAGGGCACTACCCTAAATTTCCCAAATGCAATGTTTTGCAGATTGCAGATTGCTTTAACAGCAGCCCGATGTCTATAATGACCTCATAGACGAATGGCAACAACGCTGGGATGAATCATCCAAGGGGCGCCATCTTTACCAATTCTTTCCATCTGTTCGCGAAGGGTTGTCGAGGATATGGCTTGAGCTGGATCACTGTGTCGCTCAATTTCTTACGGGTCATGGTAACTTTAAGAGCAAGCTTTATTCATTTAAATTAGTCGAGTCACCATTGTGTCAATGCTCAACACCTAACTCTCACTATGAACAGTCTGCTCATCATATCCTCTGGGAATGTAGTCTTTGGTATAATGAACGTAATATAATGCTGAATAGCTTGCGGTGACATCTGGGGCGGTATACTATGGGGATCTTGTGTCAACTAGGGTGAATTTCCGTGCGTTTAGACGAATCTGCCATACATATTATAGAAATCAAACATAGCTCACGTAGGACCCGTAATATTTGTGGCCGTGGTGCATCCCTGTTTAAATGGGTGTATGCCTATTTTACTTCATTTTGTCTCCCGCTTTGCTAAGGAGGGAAGTGGATTTACTGTATTTCCAACTCCTCCAATTTTCTTCTGATTAATTTCGTTGCGGGTTCCAAGACAGTTTAATTTCTTCCTGGGACTTCCCGAGTGTCATAACTCGGTGTGTTCGTGGGTCACTGCTGTGGATCCTGGTGTACAGGAGTTACAGTGGTGGGCGTGTGGGTGGGATTAGTCCCAATGCAATGTTTATGTTGCGCTAAGTCGCGTAAAGTTGGCATAATGATGGTGTTGCTCTTTGAGACTTAAAGCCACACAAAGCTTTTTGGCTTTGTGTGGCTTGATTGCAAGCAATGGTATAGGAGCTAGCAACGTTTTCGAGAAAGAATTGTAGGTCAGCTGATTTTGTGATATGTCGTCCTTCTTGCACTTTCGGTTAAAATCTGGGCTATCTGGCTGGCGGTAGCGGTTGCGTTCATTAGTGCGCATCCTACCTGTCCAGGTAATAATCCTGTATTTTAAAAACATTTTAGAAGGCGTAATTTTTAATTTTTTGCTTTTAAATAAGTCTACCTGACATACTTTTTTTATTGCCAGACATTTTTGACAATGCTAATTATGTGCCATACGCGATTTTTTATTTTTTATTTTTAAATTTCAAAGTATTTTATAGTGTCTGTAATTTTAATATTATGTTATTTAAAGATAAAAAAAACTTAAAATAATTTTTCCAGACATTAATTCGATTGTTAAGTCTTGAATTAAAATTAAAAAGTCATGAAAAGTATTGCAGTATGATGCTAGTAGTCCGAGAGAGATAGTTGCAGAATAAGTCGAGAATGATACAGAGAACCATTGCGAAAATTAAATTACTTTTCACTGTGCATATAATAAAAAAAAAATGATGCTGTAGGTGCAAGAGAAAACAGAGAATTTGACTTGTTTATATTAAATTTATTAATTTAAGATAAATCTAACTTAATAAGGATGAATCAAACCATTAAAAAAAATACTATATTCATTACTACACATATACATAGAGGTCTCAAGTATACACATACAATACTGAACATACACATTTATAAATACATAAATATCAAAATACATAGTCGGGTACTAGCGTTGTAATCTTTCTGCCAACTTATTTTGAAGAAGATCTTGTACTTTCTTCTTGAACGTAAACCGGTTAGTGGACGTCCTGATTTCAACTGGGAGCGCATTCCAGAGAAGAACTGACTGTACATAGTAGGAAGAATTGATGAAGTTGGAAGTGTGAGGGGGGCAAAGAAGAAGCATATTATTTGTTGACCGAAGATTTCGGTCGTGGTATTGTATTGGTATTGGTTGTGGGCTTCGGTTTCCGCATTTAGACTCAGAGTGGGCCTTTATGCGTCGAGGATTGGTTGACTAGGTGAGCCATCCAAGCTCCTTCCAGAAGCGCACAAGCCTCCTGGGGCGTTCACAGGCTTCTAGGAGCGACTTTATATCGGGAATGATACTTGCCCGTTGTGTGGCCACTCCCTCGCATTCCAGGATTACGTGGACGGCCGTTTCTCCAGCTTCCAGACATCCCCTGCACAGGGGACTGTCCGTCGCCTTGATGATGAATAGTTGTCGGTTCAGGGCTAGATGTCCTGTAATAGTTCCGAAAACCATTCTGATTTCGAGTCTGCTATGACTGATCAATCTGCAGGTGAGTCGTGGTGTGACTTGATTCAGCACCAGTTTGGACTGTCTGCAGCCGGGTGAGTTTTTCCACCTCCGGTTGTGTGCTTCACAGCTCCGTTGCCTGACCCAGCATCGTATTTGGTTAAACGATATGGGCAGGAGTGTGGTTGGGCCGGAAGTCGGGGTTGCCGAGCCCCACCTTGCCAACTCATCTACGGCATCGTTCCCGTGTGAGTTACTGTGCCCTTTAATCCATTGGAGGAGTACCCCATTGAATTTAGCGAGCTGTTCCAGTGCTTGATGGCATTCGAGGACAATACCAGAGGTCATTGTGTTGCCCTCTAGTGCCTTTAAGACGGCCATGCTGTCGGATATTATTCGGATGTTGTAGTCCTTGATACCCCTTGACATGGCCGTTGTGGCAGCGTAAGTTATTGCCTCACATTCACATTGAAATATGGAACTGTGTTGGCCTAACGCTAGTGATATGTTCATATTCCTTTGTTTGTGAACATGATCATCTCTGTTTTCGATGGGTTCACTGTCAGGTTGTGTGCTGTGCACGATCTTCAGTGCAAGTCTCATTTGATCGCATGTAACGCTCTCAAAAGGACCGCTGATGAGAATAGTAAGATCGTCTGCATAGCCTATTGTGAGGAATCTTTGGTCATTAAGTTGTGCGATGAGCTCATCCACAACAATGTTCCATAGAAGGGGTGGGAGTACACCGCCCTGGGGGCAACCTCTAGCCACCACTCCTCTAGTCACTTCGCTCACAGTGAATTGAATAGCTCTATATCTTAGCATGCTGTCGATCCA